CCTCTTTCATCTCCTCCTCCTCTGGAAGCCCTCGCCGGGACCCGGGGCCCAGGGCCAAAGAACAACTCGGGATGAGAAAAACCAAGAACCTCCAAAACGGCCCCCCTAGATGCCTCAAAACTGCCTCCAAGATGTTCCCGAGAGGCCTCCCACGAGATCTTAACGAACATCCAATAGGCTTCAGAACCACATACCAAGCACGGTGGCCAGATGGGCCGGAGTCCGTTTTACATACTGAGTGGTGGACAAGCGTAAGATAATACAGTGGACATTTTCCTGGCCCCGAAGAGGGATTGGCTAAACGACGCTCAACTTTCGATTCTCTGGAGGCCTGGGATCACCTGTGCCTGCGCCCGACTGGTGGTGGCGCGGGCAACCGCGGGCACCATCGGCCTGCGCGGTGGAGGAGGCCGCCATCGTGGCAGGCCCCCCCGCCCGCGGCAGGCGATAAGCTACGCATTCCGTTGGTGGGAGGAACTCGTGGAACGGCGAGTCGGAGGAGGGGGAACCTCGGGGAGGAGGAGGAGGAGGAGGAGGAGGAAGAGGAGGAGGAGGAGGGGAAGGAGGAGGAGGAGGAGGAAGAGGAGGAGGAGGGAGGAGGAGGAGGAGAGGAGGGAGGAGGAGGGAGGAGGAGGAGGAGGAGGAGAAGGAGAAGGAGGAGGGAGGAGAGGAGGACGAGGAGGGAGGAGGAGGAAGGAGAAGGGAGGGAGGAGGAGGAGGAGGAGGAGGAGGAGGAGGAGGAGGAGGAGAAGGGGGGGAGGAGGAGGAGGAGGAGGAGGAGGAGGAGGAGGAGAGGAGGAGGAGGAGGAGGAGGAGGCGGAGGGAGGAGGAGGGAGGGAGGAGGGAGGAGGGAGGAGGAGGAGGGAGGAGGGAGGAGGGAGGAGGGAGGGAAGAGGAGGAGGACGAGGAGGCTGGCGGCGCAGGCCAAGCGGGGTGGGGCGCGAGGGGGGCAGCCCTCCGAGAGAGCGGGCGGCTTCGCTCAAAGGCAGCAGGGCCTGGCGGCGCGGAGCCTCCGCTCGGAGGTCGCCGGATGGGGCACCAAGGTTCGGAGCATTCTCTCAGGGTGGAGGGCTCAGGGTGAAGTCCATGCAGTCAACAAGTGTAGTGAGGATGCGCGACAAGGATGCAAGGGCCTTGGACGCCCATCTCAAAGCTATCTGGGCGGGGCGGGGCCAGCAAAAGTGGCCAAGGATAGACCGAGGAGGCGAGTATGCAAGGGTACCCTTGGGAAGGTTGCATTACCCCCTCCCCCGTCTCCCCAAAATCACAGATTGCGCTCGCTCCCCCTCGGCGAGCTTCACGTCTCCAGGCCCTCTTCAGGAAACACCTGCCTTCTCTTGGAGCAGGGCGAGTGGAGCCACGGCCGGCGACTCAACATCGATCCCTGGACCTCTCCCGGGATCCAAACGCACCTGTTGAACGAGCTGCGTCCGGCCGTGGCGACGAGGGGGCCCGCCAGAAGGCGAATACCGTTGTCTGACCTCGCCTTCTAGTTGTAGGATGCTGCCGATCTCTCAACTCCCTCCCCTCGAGAGCGAAGGGGGAACCAGCGAGAGGGGGCGGGGATCGAGGGCGAGGCTGGCGAGGGAGCCGCGGCCGCTCCCTCGCGCAGGCTGTACAGCTCGCCGCCCTGTGTGGAACCTGGGGCGGCCAGACAAAAAACTCGCGGGCGCGACGCCCGCGAGGCGTGCATCATAAGCTCGGACACCTCGTTACGAGGAGGAACAAAAGAGAAGGAGGAGGGGGGGAGGAGAAGGAGGTGGAGAAGGGGGAGGAGGAGGAGGAGAAGGAGGAGGAGGAGGAGGAGGAGCAGGAAGAGGACCCCCTCCCCTTTCAACTTATGGTGGTGGTGGAAAAAAGCAGGCCCATCGAGGGGGGGCGCTGGCTCGGGCGGGGAGGCCTCGAGCCAGAACCGGCGACACGTCGCCGGCAGCCAGGCCACGCCGCCCCCCAGTGGCGAACCCGCACGGTCCTGGGCGGGGAGGGGCGATCGGGCCTCCGTGGGCGGGGCAGGGGCGAGCTCCCCCCCCCCCTGAGTCGACTCCAAATCTCTGATGAATCGATCCCCCCTAAGACAACCAGACCCCCCTCCAAATGCGACCCCTAATTTTCTGGACCCCCCTCTGCAACGGGGCGCCCGAATAGACCGGACCACCTAAGCTCCAATCCAAAAGAAAGCGCCCTTATAAGCCGGAACCCCCAGTTACAAAAAAGGCGCATTAAGAACCGGACCCGGGGCGATTAATAAGGGACTTGGAGTACAGTAGGGGCCGGCCCACAAGAAATTTTCCATAAGAAAGTCACTCCTGAGACCCCAGGGCGTCCACTGATTTTCGGCGTGGGAACGTCACGCTTTTAATCGTGAAACGATGAAACCCAAGAAGCCCGGGGCACCCTGGAGGCAAGCAGAGTGTTTCTTGGCATGGATCCCCACTGTATCCTCTTCCGTCGCTGCCCCTGACAACTGCCACAGGGAGCACGGGCTCAGAAAGAAGCCCGGCAGCGTCCACGAGAGGGAGGAGGAGGAGGAGGAGGAGGAGGAGGAGGAGGAGGAGGAGGAGGAGGAGGAGGAGGAGGAGGAGGAGGAGGAGGGAGGGGGATCTGCTGGCCCCAGCCATGACTTCCCCCCCCCGAATCATCACCCCCCTCTCTCGGACGCCCGCGAGAAGCAGGCGCCATGGCTACAATCAGGGCATCGCCGGGACCCGCCTCGACAAGATCGTTGTGATCGGTGTGATCGTTGTGACCGCTGTGATCGTCATGATCGTTGGGATCGATATTATTGTTGTCGGTCCTTGTCGTTGCTATCGTTGTTATCGTTATCGTTATCCTTGTGATCGTTGTGCCCGTTGCGATCGGTGTCGTTGCGATCGCCGTGGAACGTCATCGCTGTCGATCGCCATCGCTGTGATCGTCGTGATCGTTGATCGCCATCGTTGTGATCGTTGTGTTCGTTGCGATCGCTGCTGTTGTGATCGTTGGGATCGCTGCCCCGAGGCCCGCTCTCGGGCGGCCCCGGGGCCCAGGAAGCGAAGAAGCCTGCCGCAGGACAGGAGCTGCGGAGCGAGGCCGAGGATCCCCCCTCCTTGCCCTCGGGTCGGGGCCGGCTGAGAGGGGGGCGCCCAAGAGGGAGGGGCGCAGATCAGGGTCGGCGGCACGTGCGTGGCCCAGGGGGGAGGGGGAAGTCAGGAACGCCTTGAGATGAGACGAGACGCCATGACATCTGAGGAAATCTCAACTCTGCCTCTTCTTCCTCCTCCTCCCCCTCCTCCTCCTCCGCCTCCTCCTCCTCCTCCGCCTCCTCCTCCTCCGCCTCCTCCTCCGCCTCCTCCTCCTCCTCCTTCTCCTCCTCCTCCTCCCCCCGTTGGGGCGGGCCAGAGTACCCGCCCCGGTGCCGTGGCCAGAGAGTAGCGTCCCAGAGACGGGGTCCCCTGATGGGGGGCGGCCAAGAGGGGGGTGATGACTAGGGGAGGAGGAGGAGGAGGAGGAGGAGGAGGAGGAGGAGGAGGAGGAGGAGGAGGAGGAGGAGGAGGAGGGAGGAGGAGGAGGAGGAGGGAGGAAGGAGGAGGAGGAGGAGGAGGGAGGAGAAGGGAGGAGGAGGAGGAGGAGGAGGAGGAGGAGGAGGAGGAGGAGGAGGAGGAGGAAAGGGAGGAGGAGCAGGAGGGGGAGGAGGATAAGGAGGGACACAAAACGCCACCTCGGCAAGGCCCACTGGCCCTGGTGCCTTGTTGAGAGCAGAAAATCCACCCTCATAAGAAGTACCCTGGCAAGCGAAGCCTTCGAGTAAACGCACCCAAGGGAAGGAATCGAGCAGGGCAGAGCTGTTTAGTGAAAACCTAGGCTATGTACAATGCCAATTCACCGGGTCGGGGTGTTTTTGTTCATCATTCCTTGACCTTCTTGAACCAACGATACCTACCCTGCGCATCTTTCTGCCGATACCTTGGCATCGCATTTTCGATGCCCATGCCTAGGCTCCACCGGGTCGACTCCCAGGCATCTGATTTTGTCCAGCTGCGCCCAGCTACGTCCATGGGTGCATCCATCGATGCACGTGTAATTAGGCATATGTGTGCGGATGCTTAGGTATCAGCAGCGATATGCTTGGACACCCACATGGCCATGCCTAGACACGCTGCGAGCATGCGTAGGCGTCTGGGCCGAGGGCCGTGGCTGGGAGCAGAGCGAGCGGACCGACCCAAGACCCATCCCAGAGATCGGATGCCCTGATTTTTCCAAGGGGCCCCCAGAGGTCGCGACCCATCCCCCGGGATCAGCTCCTCATCTTGAGGCGTGCTCTGACGGTTCGGGGGCCCAGTACGCCGCCAACGGAAGGCAGCCTCCGTCTCGGGAACCCTCGACCAACCTCTAACCTTCGCAGGGGCCCTGTGCTCCTCGTGGCCGGATCATAAGCTCGGGCACCTATGAAGGGGAACTGGGGGACACACAAATAGATAGACACAAATAACCAGATTCCCTATATTGTTCCCAAATTTTCTGGGTTTTTGTCTTCCTCCCCACTTCCCATGTTTTTCCACAGTTTCCTGGGGAATCGACGGTTAATTGTGTCTGTGTGTTTCTTTCCCTCCTGACATAAGCTCGGGCACCTAAGGAGCCTCTGCGGCTCGACTGCCCCTAACAGCAACAAAACTAAAGAGGACGAGCGCTCCGCAGGAGGCGCGGCGTGCGCGCCTGTTGGCCACGGGACCGCCGCGCGCCGGGCGCGAATGCACATCTTACCAGCCTCGAACGTATCCCTATCCCTAAGATGGGCGCGCCAAAAGGCGATGACAATCTTAGGGATACGCCCTCAAACAATAGGGGAATCCCTAAGATTGGCATCGTGATGCGGAGGTGCCCAGCATAGGGATAGGGATATGTTCCAGGCTGGTAAACATCCGAATTCCACATGCAGCACGGCCGCCTCTTCAGTCTGCCGAACGGCCTCGGGCAATGGGCCTGTGACGAGGGCGAACAGCCTGGCGTCAGTGGCGCGTCGCTCACCTCGTGAGAATCTGCTGCCAGAAGTCCGCGGCAGCCGACGTCGAGCTGGTACGACCCGCGGGAGCCCGTCGCTTGCAGCACCTCGCGGGCGGCGCCGACGAGGGAGCAGCGAGAGGGGGGCGGCCCTCTGAGCAAGCGGGGGGGGGCTCCAAAAAACCAACGGGGCCTCATAGAAGCCCCTTCCGGCTTGCGAGAAACCTCCTTCGAATTATCGAATTATGTTGCTCCCATCATGCTTGAGGACCACATCCCAGAAATGCGTTCGAGCACCAAGAAAAAATCGAATAGGTGTCGAACGAGTATCGCCTCCCAGGGCCCGACATGTGAACACCCTCCCGTTTCGGTACTTGCTTGGTGCTCGAAATTCTTCCTGGTGGTCAAAGAAATAGGATGGAACATCATAACTTAGCGGGCGAATAACGGTATAAAATAATCTGGTCCATCGCCGGGGGCGCTCCCCCAAGGCGGCTGGAACTTTTATATTTTGACGTGCCACCGTAAGGGTATAACCTTTTCCAACAACCCTGTGACAAGCGCCCCCGACAGCGAAACAGTTTATGTTTTACCATTCTTCGCCCGTTCAATAACCTTCAGAGTTCGGCTGGGCGTGTCCTCCTACAGGCGAGCTTTGAGCGAAAAAAATACCAATAGTCCACAAGTCCCCCCCAAATGCCCATAAACACTCAAAGCATCGTCCCCGGACTATGTTTTACTCCTCCTGCACATGGACAGGGCCGACTCGACCTTAGAAGCCTCTGGGCCCTTCTGCCCACATCCCACACGCCACGTCCTTTTCGGGGATCTTCTGACCCGGGTCAATCCAGACCCGGGTCAGCAGGAAACCAAAAACTGCAATGCAGGAACAAAAAAAAAGCTGCAACGCAGGTCTTCGCAAATCCGGGTCAGCCAATACGAGCGGCCGCCTCGCAGCCACGAGCGGCTCGCTAACCCGGGTCAGCCAGAGGGGGCCTTCGCAGGATCCTGCAGGATCTGGCGCTTTGGCTGACCCCCGTTTGCACTGACCCCCGTCTCTTAAGCCCCGACTTTTCTCACAACGTGGGCCCCCGGCTTCACCGCCCAGCGGGCTGTGCCCGGCCCCCGGGGGCGGCGAGGGCCACCCCCCCAGGGCCGCGGCCGCGCCAGAGACACAGACGCGACCGCCGCGTGTCCGACCAGAGGAGGAACAAACGGCATGCACACGAGCGTCTGGAGGTCCTCAGGGGCCCCTTCTGGGCCCTCGAGGGCCCCTCCTTCTGCGGCCGTCGCCGCCCCCCTCCACTGATGGGGGGGACCAGCACACGGTATAAAAATAAACTTTTGGAGGTCCGCGCGGGTTTCTTGGATCTGACCTGGACCCCCTCCCTGGCGCGCTCCGCGCGGCAGGGGCGGCGACGGAGGCCCCGCCAGGAGGGGTTCCAGCGCGGATCCAAGAAACCCGCGCGGAGCGCCAAAATTCGTGTTTATGGCGTTCCGTGTTCTTCGATTGACAGCCCTTCCTCATCCTTTTCCTCGTCTTCCTCTTCCCCCTCCTCCTCCTCAACCTCCTCAACCTCAACCTCCTCCTCCTCTCTTTATTCCTCCTCCCTCTCCTCCTCCTCCTCCTCCTCCCCTCCCCTCCTCCTCCTCCTCTCCTCCTCCTCCCTCCTCCTCCTCCTCCTTTTCCCCCTCCTTTTCCTCCTCCTCCTCCTCCTCCTCCTCCCTCCTCCTCCTCCTCCTCCTCCTCCTCCTCCTCCTCCCTCTCCTCCTCCTCCTCCTCCTCTCTCCTGCTCTTTCTCCTCTTTCTCTCCTCATCCTCCCCTCCTCCTCCTCCTGCTCTTTTCTCCTCTTTCTCCTCCTCCCCCCTCCTCCCTCCCTCCCTCCCTCCCTTCCTCCCTCCCTCCGCGCTCCCTCACCCTCACCCCTCCCTCCCTCCCCCCTTTCCTCCCCCTCCTCCTCCTTCCTCCTCCTCCCTCTCCTCCTCTCCTCCTCCCCTCCTCCTCCCTCCTCCTCCTCCTCCTCCTCCTCCTCCTATCTCCTCCTCCTCCTCCTCCTGTTCCTGTTCCTGTTCCTGTTCCTGTTCCTGTTCCTCCTCCTCCTCCTCCTCTCCTCCTCCGCCTCCTCCTCTTTCTCCTCCTCCTCCTTCTCCTGCTTCTCCGGAGCCGAACGCTGGCACACAGCGCCCGTCGTGCTCTTGCTCACGGCGCGAAAGGTGGGCCTGGGCAGCCCCCCGCCCCGTTGCCAGGCCGCCCCCCCACTCCTTGTGGAGGCCTCCCAGAAGGGGGGTGCCCCGGCGCTCCCCGGCGCTCCCAAGGGCTCACACTCTCAAGCGCTACCCGGCGATCCCAAGCACTCCCACTTGGGTGGGCCATGCTCTTGTAAGTACTTAGCTGGTTTGGTAAGTACTTACATCATGTCGTACACGTACGTCCAATATGATTGCCAGTCACTGCTAAGTACTTTCAAGTCACGTTTAAGTACGTCTGAACCGTCTTACTAAGTACTCAGCACCATGCCTACTAAGTCTCACAAGTACTTAGAAAGTCTAAGTGGACCTAGCGTCGATGTCGTACGCATTTAAGGCTAAGTGGTTGCAAGTACTTCGCTTGTGTTGCTAAGCATGTAGCTTACATGTCTAAGTACGTCGATCAACACTTGGCGGGAGACTTTCAAGTGATTCGGCTAAGTATTTCGACCGATACTTAGTAATACGTACCACGGACTTAGCTAAGTACTTGTCATGATTTGCTAAGCGCTTAGCTGACACGTCTCGGTACTCAGTTAATCGCGTAACAAGTTAGTTACATTCGACTTAGCTGCGTACTTAGCCAGACACGTATACTAGAACGTGCTGAGTACGAAAAAAATGAATAGCGACCGTGGTTCTATGTTTTGTGTGTTTTTCAAGCCGCGCAAACTAAACCAACACATCAAACCATGAGCTTGCGCGATATCGAACATGAGTTTACGCGATATAGGCATGGGTTGCATATGTGAGACCAATGTTTTGTCTGGTCCCGATCAGAGAGAGACGGGGGCATGTGATACTGCGGCTGCCCAGGCCCACTCCCGATGGTAATGGCGACGTTGACGATGACCATGTAGTGCAACATTGATGGAGATGAGCCGCAAGATTTACATGGCGTGGGGGACCGGGCAACAATGCTAGAGCAATGTTGTCAGGTCCCCCCGTCCGTGCTTACGTCGGCGACCGCCGCTCAACATAGCGCAATATGTTTTGCGCTGCGTCGAGGTTCCGCCCCGCGCGCGGGAAGGGGGCGCGACGCCTTTGCAGTTGCAATCGCGTCGCCTCCGCCTCCCGCCGCAACGTCGCTGCCGCGCATCGGACACTTCAGCGCGTTGCCATGTCGCCCGGCACGCTTGCTCCGCAAATCCAGACAGCCATTCGCCGCCGCCAGACAGCTGACGTGCTTGCCGATACAGAATCGCGATGCTGCTTCGAGCCTCGGGCTTGCCCCGAGCGAGGCGCGCGCCCCCATCGGCGCGACGCCGCCGCGCGACCTGCCCCGCTGCCACTTCAGGGCAGTCGCCGCGTCGGCCGCGGTGCCACTCGTCGGCGACGAGGCGATCGTCTCGCTCGTGAACTACTCGATGGAGAGCGCCAGAATGTCGGGCAAGCTCGTTGGTGGATAGGAACATGCCCAGCCGGCACTGTTGTCCCACGGCTGGGCATATTACCAGACCGTCAGTTCTGAGTTCGTCGCCCCACGCCCGCGGAACAGGTCGGGCGACGGCGCGAAGCCCGACAAGGCGCCCGCGCTCGGGGCGAAGACCGTCGCGCTCGGGCATTCGGCTAAGCGCGCCAGCGACGCCACCTGCTTCGAAGCGGCGACTGCACCAGCGCAAAATGTGGCGGTCTACAAGAGCGCGAGCGACGTCGCGGCGCTGTCGAACGGCGTGCGCCCCCCGTGGCAGCGGTCACCCAGGCGCTACTCGGCGGGGTGGTGGCGGTGCGGGGGGGGGGCGGGGCGGGGGGGGGGGGGGCGGGGGGGGGCGGGCGCGGGGCGGGGTGGTGCGCGTGCGTGTGTGCGTGTGTGTGTGGGGGGGGGGCAACGCGAAACATGTTCCCCCGCGCCCTCGCGCGCGGGGGGGCCGCGAACATCCCGCAGTTGCAGGGCGAGCGGGGCAGGATCAACCGGGCCAGGCTGCTGGCCGATCCCACCATCAAGGGCGCGGTGTAGGGAAGGGGTGCGATGGCCGGCGCTGCCCGAGCGCTGCGAGCGCGAGTTCCCCGCGCTGCCCGCGTCCATCCCGAGCGCGCTGAACGTAGAGGTGAACGAGCCACAGACGGAAGTGATCATTCGTCAGGGACGTGCAATTACATACGTTATGTTGGTGGCGCGCGGCGCCCCAGCGCCCGCGATGTTCGAGCGCGCGCAGCGCGCGCTGTCGCGCTATGGCGCGTCAACGCGCGCTGCGCAAGTCGCGGCGCGCTGGGTCGCCCGCGCGCGGTTGGCGGGCCAGCGGGCGCCGGCGGTCTACAACAAGGCCGCGCAGCATGAGGCTGGATTCGAGAAGGCTCCGCGTGACGAGATCGCGCGGAGGTCGGGCACAGCGTCCCACCGTGCAAGCCTCGAATCAAAGAGATCGCGCACTACGTGGCGACGGGGCCCAGCAACGGCGCGCCGGCTAACGACCTGCGGATGGCAGCGAGAGCATTCGCCGCGACGACGGCGAACTCCGAGGTAAACATGGTCGGCCAGGAGTTCCTCGCGGCACTCAACGAGGTCCCGAGCAAGCTCCCGAAAAGGTGAAAAAAGAACCCGCGCGCGATGAAAGCTCTCATCGTTGCCCATATGACGGGGTGGGAACGTGGTGGGCGGCATGTATAAAACAAAAATCCAGACAGGAGGCTGCACTTGCCGCGGGCAACAAAAAAAGCGCGCGACTCAGAAAGGCCGGCGCGTTCGCGGCGCACGCCCGCGCGGTGCTGCGCAACGTGAAGAAGGACAAGGTCGACACCTTCAAGCGGACCGTCAATGACGCTGTGGGAGCCGCGCGCGTGCTGACGAACAAGCACAACGCAGAGGGCGACAACTTCAAGATCAGAGATGACGTGGTCAAGGCTGGCATGGTAAAGTGCATGAGGTAAAAGGCACGCCCCAGCGCATCCTTCGCCGCCCAGCCGACTGGCGCGCTCAAGCGCGTCATTCGACTGCCCCGAAGGCGCTCTTGAAAGACGCCGATGGCAGCCTGCATGCCAGCTTGGCGGACTTCGGGCTAGCGCGCAACAGCCCCTTGGCGGCCGCCTTGAAGTCCAATGCTTGCGGGCGCGCGCCAACGGCGGCGACGTCGGCGCCGCCAGCGGCGTCGCATCATGCCGAGAGCGTCATGGACATGAAGAGCGCGCTGTCCCAGATGGAGGCGGCTGGGTTCAAGGAGTGCGCCTTCTGCAAGAAAAGGAAGGATGCGTTGGCTAAGTTGGCGGTTGATGCAGTGGCGCAGGAGCTCGCGAAGATCGCTGCACCGATGCTGCCGATGCCCGAGATGGCGGTGGCGCCGATCAAGGCAGCCGCCATGCTGGGGCGTCACAACCAGACCACGAAGTACACCGCGTCCGTGCACGCGGGTTTGGACCTCCCCAGCAGGCCGACGGCGGCCATCCTGGAAAACCCCTGATCTCCTGAAAGGGGCCCTGAGACCCCTGATTCGCCAGCGAGATGCCCTCATAGGGGCCCTTTTCGCACCGATTCGAGGACTTAGATAAGTACTTCGCGCGACACCTAGAAGTACTTTGTAAGTACTTCGAAGTGTCGATGTAATTACTCAGCTAAGTCACTTGGAAGTAAGTTGCTAAAGTCTTAGCTATGTGCTTAAAGTGTAAGCTCACTGCTTAGCAAGTAAAGCTAAGTAGTTAGCTGAATACTCAGTAAGTACTTCAACATACAGAGCTAATTCACTTGTGTTATAGACTGTTGTAAGTCGGTTGCTATGTACTTAGCGAAGCACATAGCAAGTCTCTTCCAAGTCAGCTAAGTACTCACCACGTCGACCAAGTACTTACAAGAGCACTGGTCCACCCAAGCAAGCGCCCCCAAGGGCCCCCAAGCGCTCCCAAGCGACTCCCCGGCGCCCCCAAGCGCTTCCAGGCGCCACCCAGCGCTCCCAGACGCTTCCAGGCGGAGCAGCTGGGATCGCCCCGAATCATCGGTGCCTCGCCGGTGCCTCGGCGACGTCGGCGGCGCCTCGGCGCCGCCGGTGGGGAGAGTACTGGGCTCCACGTCGAGTTGGGCATCGCTTCGTGGGGGGTGCGACACACGGGGGAAAGAACGGTGCGCTCTTCTGGCCAGGAAAGCCCTCGCTGCCCCCCCCCTTTTTTGGGGGACCCAAAAAGTGCATACATATCAACTTTTCGAGGTCCGCGCGGATGTCTTGGATCTGACGCGCGGAGCGCGCCAGGGGCGGCGAGGGAGGCGCCGCCAGGGGGGGGCCAGCGCCGATCCAAGAAGCCCGCTCGGAGCGCCAAAAAATTATGGTTGTGCAATTGTTTCGCGTCGCCTATGTACCGCCCCCCAATGCGCGATGCCCCATCGAGCCGCATCCCCACTGCGCCGGCGATGCAGCGTGATCCTGCGACTCCGTCTGCTCCGACTCAACCCCCTACAATGAAAAAAATCCCAAATAGTCAAAACAAAATCATGGGACGATCTTTTCACTATGTTTGGCTATCTCTGCATACCTTTTGACTATCTTTTACCCTTCTTCCAAAGTCCCCCTGTAGGAGGACATGCCCGACCTAACCCCACCCGGAAGGCCCAGGCCTCGGGGCGGTCAAGAGTGGGGCGTCCAAGAGGGGTGGGCGCAAATCATGGCCAGCGGCACGTGTACGGCCCCAGAGGGGGGGCGGGGACGAAATATAATTACAAGAGGTGCCATGGAATCTGGGGAACTATCATGTCCCACGCCATGATATCCCCCCCACTAGTCTTATGTCGGGCCTGCCACCTACAGGGGGATTTTGGGCGAAAACTTGAAAATATTCTCAACAATATTCCAAACATGATGAAGCATAGTCAGAGATCGCCCCCATACTTTTTTTTGAACTCCTTTTGAGTATTCCTCCTAGTCGTCACCCCCCCCTTGGCCACCCCCGACAGGCCCCTGCGCGCCACCCGCTCGAGCACGCCGCCCGGGCACCAGTAGTCTGCCGCCTCGCCGCAGGCCGCCCCGCGCGTGCCGCGGCCCGCGTTGAAGACGTACTCCCACCCGTCGTCGAGGCCGTTGCCGCCCAGGCAGGCGGCCTCGAAGCCGTCGTCGACGGGGGGGACGGGGAAGAAGTCCACCTCGTGAGGGGCCCGTGCTCCACCACCGCCGCCGCCAGCTGGAGGGGGGGGGAGGTGGAGGGGGAGGGGGAGGAGGACGAAGAAGAGGAGAGAGGGAGGAGGAGGAGGAGGAGGAGGAGGAGGAGGAGGAGGAGGAGGAGGAGGAGGAGCAGGAGAGGGAGGAGCAGGAGGAGGAGGAGGAGGAGGAGGAGGAAAAGGACACTCTCCCCCCCCCTCTAACTTATTGTGGTGGTGGTGGTGGAAGACAGGCCCGTCACACCTGGGCGACGGCAAGAAAGGCTCGAGTGGGGGACCGAGCGACACAAACAGAACACAGCTCGCAGGTCCGCGCGGATTTCTCGGATCGGCGTTGGACCCCCCTCCCTGGCGCGCCATGTCATTGTTGGTTCCCCTATCAGGGGGGCGTAAGACCCGGGTACAGGGGACTCGGAAATCTCCGACGAGGTCGTCAACAAAAATGACGAGGCCGAGCCTGCATTTTGACGAGGCCTCCCGCTGCAGACATCACACGAAACGCCTACTCGCCAAAATCCGAATCGCGGTCGTCAAAAAACGATGGCGAGCCCGAGTCCTGGCAAACCCAGGTCTTACGCTCCCCCGACCCTGCTCGAAGGGGTCGCGTGCACGACGACGTAGCGACCTGGCGCGGTGGTCGACGCCGGCCGCCCGCCCGGCACGCTGCACACCGGAAACCAGGGCCCCTCCTCCACACGACCCTGCGCGCGGGCAACTTATACGCGCGGGTGCCCCCGCGGCCGACCCCGTGATCCTCCGTTGCGCACCTGCGCACGCAGACCTGGTCGTGGGAATCTTATGAACACCAACGACGGCCGCTACTGATAATACTAACGACGGCGGTCATATTGATACCCAGACCCACCCTCAACAAAACCGACGGGGGGTCCTATTCACACTTCCGGCCACTGGGGGCCCTCGCTGGGCCATCGGACCCTCAAAAGCCACCTCGGGATGAGAACCCGGTCTGGGGCAATGTGTCGAGACCTCCAGGGGTGCGCGTCGTGAGATACCTGGCATCGGGGGTCTGGGCGGAAGGCTTCTGCGCGCCGCCGCCCCTGGCCAGGGCTGCCCTGGCAGGAGCAGCTGGCGCCGTGTCGCGAAGGCTGGTCGGCTCGGAACGTGCAGCACACCGGGCTGTATCGGCACGCGGCCGAGGTCGAGAAGCAGCGGCCGAACCAGGAGGCACCACGGCGCCAGGCCAGACTCGGGCCGCCGCGGAACGTCGGCAAGTCGGGATCGCATCGGGTCACTCATTCACTCACGAGCCATACGCCGTCCAGCGCGTGGGCAGGAAAACAATGTCAAGCAATCCCAGACAGCAGTGGGTGAAACGCTGCGCCAGCTAAATTAACCAGGAGGAGGAGGAGGAGGAGGAGGAGGAGGAGGAGGAAGGTGCGCCGAAATCGCTGCCGAATCGGATCGATCGAATCGCCACCCGCCGCGGCCAGCAGGTGTGCAGCCCCTCGCGGCCTATGGGGTCCGCGCGGCCTCCCGGAAAGCCGAGGCTGGCCTGGGCTATAGACACGGTGATGGTGTGCGGCTGCCCTCCTCCTCCTTCCCCTCCTCCTCCTCCTCCTCCTCCTCCTCCTCCTCCCCTCCTCCTCCTCCTCCTCCTCCCTCCTCCTCCTCCTCCGCCTCATCATCATCTCATCATCATCATCATCATCATCATCATCATCATCTCATCATCCTTACTCCTCGTCCTCCCCTCCACCCCTCCTCCTCTCCTCCTCCTCCTCCTCCTCCTCCCTCCTCCTCCTCCTCCTCCTCCTCCTCCTGCTCCTCCTCCTCCTCCTCTTCCTCCTCTATCTCCTCCTCCTTCTCCCCTCCTCCTCCTCCTCCTCCTCCACCTCCCCCTCCTCTCCTCCTCCATCTTCTCCTCCATCTTCTCCTCCTCCTCCCTCCTCCTTATCCTCCTTATCCCCCTCCTCCTCCTCCTCCTCCTCCTCCTCCTCCTCCTACACCTCCTCCTTCTCCTCGTGCCCAGACATCCGATGTCGCATGTTGTTCGGAGCGTGACTCGCCAGCGAAAAAGTCTGGATTCCTTCCCGCGCGGATCGGCTTTCCATCCCGAGCCGTCCATGGGAGGCCTGGCGCCAGGATCAACCATATGGGATGCTTCCACAGGGGGCGATGATCCTAGATGTTGGTGTTGGCGGGAAGCCCAATCATCATATGCCCACCATCACCGAGATCGGGATCATCTCCCTCGGTGACACCGCCGATCTTGGTGTAGGCCTCCGAATTCCGTTTTCGACAATTTCAGGGCCTGGCAAGGGGCCACTGGAGGCCGAAAATTGCCCAAACCCTTTCGCCTTGGTCAGTCAGTTCGACGGGGCGAGAATGGCGAAGAGCGGGATCCACCTTCAGAAGCGGTCCCGGCCCCTCCGAGGCCTCCTCGCCGGCCGACTCCTGTGCGGACGAGATTTATATCCATATCCAATGCGTCTTGGACCTCCTGGAGAGCGCCAAAAGGTCGAAGCGCAGTGGATATGGATAAAGCTATTTCCTTAGATAGGGTCAGATTATTATACATATCCACTGCGCCTCTGGTTTCTGGGGAGGGGGAACCCGGAATTCCAATACACAGTGGATATGGACACAAATCCTGCCCGCATCCTGGCACATCACGCCGAACTTATACAGGGGGCTGCCAGCGCTGGAGTCGTGCACCCTGCCGTCCGCCACGAGGCAGAGGTAAGGCTCCTCCTGCTGGTCCGCCGTGCCGCTGGGCTGGCTCTCCGCCCAGTCCAGGCGGCTGGCCTCCTCGCCGTCGTCCCACTCCCAGCGGTCGCCAGACCATCGCCCGCCGAGCCATATGGTGTTCCTGGGGGGACCGAAAGGTACCGATGCCTCTGCTCCACGGACCCCCTCTTCTGCGGCAACGTACTTGAGCTTCCCATACCAGCCGATTGGCGCTTTCAAATCGACGCTCATCGACGCCAAATCGACTCCGAATCGACGCCGAATCGACGCTCATCCACGCCAATCGACGCTAATCGATGCTACACCGGCACTTTCTCATCGATTACCAGACGCTGGCGCACGCTAGTGCATTCTAAAGGCGCACTTCCGAAACCATACACCATACAAGTTCCCCAAGAGTTGCTACCGAATGCGTCAGTTCTGGCGAGAATGTCCAGGCGAGTCCAGCCGTGTCGACGAGCAGAGGAGTAAAAACGGCATAAGCATCAACAGGATTTCCCGAAGGGGTCTGCGCGGATTTCGTGGATCGGCGCTACACCCCCGCAACGGGCGGCACCAGAAGCGCCTCTAGGGCACCAGTGAGACCCAGCGCCGATTCAAGAAACGCGCGTTGAGCGCCACAAGTTTGCGATTATGGCGTTTTGTCTTCTTCGATTGACGGCCCCTCCTCATCCTCCTCCTGTTCTTCCTCCTCCCTCCTCCTCAACCTCCTCAATCTCCTCCTCCTCCTCTTCCTCCTCCTCCCCGGGATCGAATGGCCCGGGTCTGGCGAGGAACACAGCACACACACACATACACACACACACACTGTGAGCATCCCGTGCCTCCCCCCCCCAAAAAAAAGGCAACGGTAGCAGTACCTTTTTGTTATCCTCCGAGCATGCCGAGCAGCTTGCTGGCATCGACCTCCAACATCTTCCTCCCCACCTCCCTCCCCTTCATAACTTGCTGCACACGTGTCTCGCATCTCGGGTTGTCCAGACGCGCCAGATTTCTGAGGCCACGGCCTTGCCTACCTGGTCTTCGCTAGGCCCGGACGATGTCCGCAGCGGTGGTCGTATCGTGTCTTACTTCCTCCTCCGAGATTCCGCGGCCACGCGCCCGCCATGTCGCCCGCCTCGATCGCGCGCCTCACGGCGTCCTCGAGGGCCGTCTGCTCCTCCGCGGTCTTGGGCATGGCCACCGCGGACTCCGCGCAGGCGCCCCGGACGTCGCCTGGGGGGATCCAGAAGATACCCGTGCTCGGCGGAGCCCGCACGGGGGTGCGAGAAGGGTGGGCTTGTCAGAATACTCTGACATCAGACGTGTCGCAGCCCACACACTTGAGATGGGTGGCTTTGCAACAATCTTTACATGTCAACTGTGGCGCAGCCCCCCCACCCAAACACACACACACACAAACACACACATTCTCACACACACACACGCACACACACACACACACACCGTCGACGTACACGTACACGTACAAGTACACGTACACGTACACGTACACGCACACGCACACGCACACGCACACGCACACGCACACGCACACGCACACGCGCACGCGCACGCACACGCGCACGCGCACGCGCACGCGCACGCGCACGCGCACACGCACACGCACACGCACACGCACACGCACACGCACACGCGCACGCGCACGCACGCACGCGCACGCGCACGCGCACGCGCACGCGCACGCGCACGCGCACGCGCATGCGCACGCGCACGCGCACGCGCACGCGCACGCGCACGCGCACGCGCACGCGCACACGCACACGCACACGCACACGCACACGCACAGACAAACGCACAAGCGCCCACACACATACAACACACACCACACACACATTCACACACACGGTTGGCGTCGCGGACCCGCGCGCGGCGACGGGGGGTAGAAAGTCGAGAGCCAGCAATGAAGCGCGCGCGCGCGCGTCATGCCCTGCCGAGCACTCAGTGACCGCTCAGGGTCTCGGCAGCCATAACCATGTGGGCATGGATTGCGGGGCAAGCGAGGAATAGACGAAACTACGGTGAGGGAGAGTGATATGAGCCAACCGGGACTGAAAGGCGGGGAGGCCGAATAAGCGAGAGCGGACCGACGAGGGAGTGCGTCGAGGAGCGACAGGGAGGCAGCCCCCCCCCCTCCACACACAACACACACACACACACACACATCCGGCCGTGCCCAGACCTCGGATCAGGTCGGGCATGTCCTCCTACAGGCGGATGTTGGAAGAAGGATGAAACATAGTCAAAACATAGGACGGGGACAAAATCTATTCCAGAGAGTTCCCTCCTGCTGTCCTCCTCCTGTCCTCCTCCTCCTGTCCTCCTGTCCTCCTCCTCCTCCTCCTTCTCCCCCCCGCCCCCCGAAGCCCAAGGTGGAGGCCCGATGCTCAGAGATAGAGCACATTCACAATCGAAGCATCGCACCCAGACAATCTTTTGACTCCCTCTGGACATTCCTCCTGCAGAGGGACATGCACGACTTCAACCTCGGACGCTCCAGCACTGCTCTGCGTCGCCGCTCTCGGTCTCTGGGGGGCCCTCGCCGGGCCCCGAGACCGTCTGAGCAGCATGCACAGCCAGTGCGCACAGGTCGACACGCCCAGGGAACCGCACCGCGACAGACAAACCAGAAAACCGCGACGTCGGATCTCCTGTGGGGCAGCGCCATCGGCATCCTTTCGAGCGCGTTTCCTTTCTCTTCGGCGACCATGGGCAGTCGAGGGGAGGGTTAACGGGCATATGGGCACGATGGTCGATAGGGTCCGATAGGGGCCTATAGGGGCGATAAATGGGCATCATGGGCTACAGGGGTATGATGTAACGCCTCCGCCTCGCCGTGCGCACGGCGGCAGTGCCCGTAGCGCACTGGGAGGGGAGGGGCGTTACGTTATAGGGGGGAGGAGGGGGTCTGGGGGCTAGAATGCCCATTATGCCCCAAGCAAGACAGAAACACGCTCTTTCTTCTTCCGTCGCCGGCGGCGTAATAGCCCGCGAAGGAATACCTCTTGGCGCTGGCCGGCTTGTCGGCGGCCGGCTTGTCGGCGGCCGGCTCCGTAGTCGTGGCGACGATCGGCTCCGCCGAGTCGCTCAGGTGCACGATGAGCTCCTTCTGCGGTAACTCACAGCTCTTGCGAGTCAACGCTGACGGAGGCTGATCGACGCCAGTCGATGCAAATCGACGCCAGTCCGACGCCAATCGACGCCAGATCGGCGCTCCTTCTCATCGATTGGCAGACGCCAGCGCAAACTAGTGAACTCTGAAGCTAACCGACGCCAAATCGTAGATACCTCATCGAGACGGAATTGCCAATCGGAGGCGGGTAATTAGGTGTGCGCTGGATCGATCCCGAGAAAATTCGTTCAGACAAGGGGGATCTGCGGGCAAATACGCTCACAATCGATCCACGGACCCCTCCCGGGGTCAATGTGATGCAGCCTCCACCCTGGGTCCGCATTCAGCGCGGATCCAAGAAATCCGCACGGAGCGCCGAAAACTTATGTTTGTGGTTTTTTGTTCGTCTTCGAATGAAGGCTCCCGCGAATGTCTGGGGAAATCACAAGGTACCGATACCGCCACTCCCCGGACCTCTCCCGGCATGCGTTCTGACTGGGATTTCGAAGCGAATCCAGCGGTGGCGACGAGGGCCCCCCAGGAGGCCCAAGAATGGGAAAACGGGCGAAGGGCGGAAGCATGATTTCCTCTTCCTCCTCCCCAGAGAACCAACGTCGTGATTCTTTCAAAAACCACAGGCGAAGGCGCCGGCGGCGTCAAAGGTCGGCTCGGGCTACGAGCAGATTCTTTTAATACGCGGTCCCCCGAAGTCTCGACCCATTCGACAGGACTGGCTTTTCATCCTGAGACGTTTTCTGACGGCCCCGGGGCCCCGCGAGGGCCCCTAGAGGCCGAAAATTGCAACAACAACAACAACAACAACAACAACAACAACAACAACAACAACAACAACAACAACAACAACAACAACAAAAAACGCGTCTTGATTTTCTAATGCGTTCGATCTCTGGGCCTGAGCTTCTGCCAAGAGCTCCCGCGGGCTCTCCGCTGCGGCGGCGCCAGCGCTGCTGCCCCAGGCGGGCGGCGCGGCGCCCCGCGAGGCGGCGAGGTCGTCGTCGTTGGGGACGTCGGCAGGGGCGGCCATGGCTCGGGCGTGCGCCGGAGGCGGCCTCCTGGCCCAAGAAGTGCCTGGGCCCCGACGGGGCGCCGTCGGGTGGCGACAGCCGCACCCCACGCCCACCAGCCGAGGGCACGAGTTCTGTCCACGCCCGGTGCGTCCTGGACTTTCCCTCGGAAGGGGCGCCACGAGGGCGAGGCGCACTGCACAGGAACAAGAGCGGGGCCTCTGGGGGCAAGGTACCTTTTCCATGACCAGTGCGCCTCGGGTTTCTGGGGAGGAGCCCGAAGATCCAAGCTACAAGTCTTGCCTGCACCAACCATGGATTCTCCTGAATCGATGCGGGACGGGGGTAGGGTTCGTATCTCGCCGCGTGCTCGACGAATTCCAAATTCTACCCACGTTCGCCCATTGCATTGCCTGTGAATCGTCGAACGGCAATGGTAGAATTCGGATGCCGCCGCCGAGCCGGAAGAAGATCACGACGGGATCTGCTGCTGCTGTCATCGCCGGGCCCCGGGGACCGTCAAGAAAGAACTCGCGATGCAAGACCAGGCCCGGGTTGGAGCCGGCCGGAAGGTCTAAAGTGGTCGGGGCCCTGGAAAACTGGACAGGAGGGAAACCAACCCCTGGACCTCCAAGACCGCCACAAAAGGGCCCCAAGGCCGCCCCAAGGAGCCCCAAGTCCAATGCAGCCTGCGCTTATCACGCGCTTCGGGCTGGCCTGGTGACGGTCCGGAGCCCAAGCCCTGGACCCCTCCTGGGGTCCACCTCGTGATTTTTCCCCTCTGCACCCTCTTTTGACGGCCCCAGGGCCCGCAACCGGTCCTCGGAGGACGGAAAGCAGAAACAAATCATCCGGAGCCTCGCCCCCCCCCCCCACTCCTCCTCCTCTTCCTCCTCCTGCTCCTCCTCTTCCTCCTCCTCCTCTTCCTCCTCGTCGTCGTCGTCGGTGGTCGTCGGTCGTCGTCAGTCGTCGTCGGTCGTCGGTCCTCATCGTCCTCCTCGTCCTCCTCGTCCAACTCCTCGTCCTCCTCGTCCTCCTCGTCCTCCTCGTCCTCCTCCTCGTCCTCCTCTTCGTCCTCCTCCTCCTCCTCGTCCTCCTCGTCGACCTCCTCCTCCTGCTCCTCCTCGTCCTCCTCGTCCTCGTTCTCGTCCTCCTTCTCGTCCTCGTTCTCGTCCTCCTTCTCATCCTCCTCCTCGTCCAACCCCTCGTCCTATTTCTCGTCCTCCTCCTCCTCCTTCTCCTCTTCCTCCTTCCCCCCTTTCCCTCCTCTCCTCCTCCTCCACCTCCTCCCTCCTCCTCCTCCTCCTCCTCCTCCTCCTCCTCCTCCCTCCCTCCTTCCTGCCCGCCAGGGCACAGTCCTATGCCACCTTCGACACGCGCCCCCCCGAGCTCTTCGCACGAGATAAACACAGGCAACTCCTGGGAGGTCTTCATAACAGCGCTTGCGGGCGAATGAGCCCGATTCAGGTCAGGTCGGGCCATCGTCCCCAGACTATGTTTGAATGCTCCTCCTTTAGAGGGACATGCTCGACTTACGATTCAAGATCAACTGAGCCAGATTACCCCGGAATGACCTCATGGTGAAACTGGGTTTTGCTGGATGAAGAACGGAATGAGCCTGAATTCAGCGGTGGGACTGTGCCGGATCAGGCCGGCTCTCGACCGCGGATACACGCGAGGCCGTGTGGGGGGCCTGATCTATCGGAGAGCCTGGGGGGCACCCGAGCGACGAAGAGAAGGAGGAGGAGGAGGACGAGGAAATCTTCGCGACAGGACACAGCACGACACGTCACGTCCCGCGGTGACGCGTGAGGGGCGCCGGCGCGGCACGCTGCACTGGAAGCGAAAGCGCCATCCGCACGACCTCGCGCGGGCAGCTCACGCGCCAATGTCCGCGCAGATGACCCCGCTTTCTTTCGCTTTGTTTTGAACAATTATCTGCTTCGGTTATAATCCGCCTACGGCAGGTTCGTGTCGTGCCGACCCCAGCGTTGGTTTTTGACACCGCAGGGATCGTTCAACCTTGAACGATCGGCCGCTGCCGCAACGTCCGATCGTTCAACATCGATCGATTCTGGGTCGCCGGCGGCGTTCAACCTTGAACGTCCGCGCTGGGGTCGCCGCTGGTCGACACGACGCAAACCTACCGTATAGGAGGACATGCCCGACCTCAGCGCAGACGACCCCACTTTCTTCCGTCGCTCGTCTTGGGCCAGGGGCGCCTCTGGCCGCGCCCGGATGGTGCCGGGGGCCAGCAGGTCGAAGACCTGGGTCGGCGGCCCGCCCACGTCTTTCAGGGCCTGCGCGGGAGCCGCCGGCACCACGGGATCGGCAAGCTTCGGCTCTGCTCGGCGCGGCGCGACGCGCGTCGGGCTGCACGGGCACGGGGGCCGTGGCCAGGATCTGCGAGGCGGGGGCACAGCACATCCATATCCACAGCCACCGCCCGGGGCACCGCCATCCTAGAGGCCCCAGCGGGTCGTGGGCATGGGCAAGTCTTGGCCCCAGGGGACCCGACAATGTATCCATATCCACTGCCTGAATGACACCCTGGAGGCCGATCCGCCAGGCGATGGTCGTAGAGATACACCTCCGCCTCGGAGAACCGACTACAGTGGAGGCCAGGCCACAAGAAGCCTTCCACAAGAAACCCAACCCCGAGATACCCAGGACGTCCATTGGTTTTTGGTGTGGGAACGTCACACTTTCCATCGCAAATCCATCGAAACTCAAGAAACCCAGGGCACCAAGGAGACCATCAGGGTGTTTCTTGGCGTGGGCCCACACGGGAGGCCGAGCCAGGATGCAAGACAGCGCCGTGCAAGCATCGGGCCGCATCGAAGTCGCACCCATCGGCTCGAAGCGGGACCTGCTCGGGGGTTTTACGACCTGGGTCAATCCAGACTTTGGTAAGTCAGGCCTTGCAGAATCCTGTCAGATCCTGCACCCAAACCCTCGTCAATGCGAAGGATCCTGCAAAATCCTGCAGGATCCTGCACCCAAGCCCGGGTCAATGCGACCCTGGCCCTGCAGAATCCTGCAAGATCGGGCGCTCTGGCTTGATGGGCCTGTTTCCATCACCACAACCAGAAGTCGGAGGGGGGGAGGATGAGGAGAAGGCGGAGGACGAGAAGGAGGAGGACGAGGAGGAGGAGGACGAAGAGAAGGAGGAGGAGGACGAGGCGGAGGAGGAGGTGGAGGACCCCCTCCCCCTCCAGCTCGTGGTGGTGGTGGTTGACATCGGGCCCACCGTGGCCGACCCACCGTGTGCACCGACCCCCGCCTGCGGGGCCTCCCGACCTCCGGGCTCCCTCCGTGGCCTCCCGCGGCCACGGCCCGGGCCTCCCGCGGAGGGCCCTCGGGGCCGGTGTGGGGACCCCCTCGGGGTGCTGTCGGCGGGGCGCGCAGCTGCTGGCAGGGGGCCACATGCGAACCCTGCCCCTACCGTCGGGGCGTGGACCTAAGGAACCCAAAAGAAGGAACGAGGCCCCTCTTTTCTCCAGAAGTTCAACTTCGACTTCCCTTCGGAAATCCAAGGTTAACCTGGGACGAAATGTGAAACAATGAAGGCACTCCCCAATGAAAAGGGTTCCTGCTTCAGGGCCCCGACTGTACCCCTACCCCCCACGATTTCTGGGGGGGAGGGTGGGGTTCACTTCGCTCGGGATCTCCCGAGCGAAGTGAACCCCACCCTCCCCCTCAGAAACCGTGGGGGGTAGGGGGCAGGGGTCGCAGGTGGTCCCCCAGCTGGGCAAGCATCCCGAGCCTGGAGGCCCCGTCGGGCAGGAGAGCGCCCCAGCTTGGATCGACAGGTCGGGTACGCGATCGGAGAAAGTCGGATCGGCGGAGCTCGGCGGCCGAGCCGGGAAGAGCCGAGTCGGCGGAGCTCGGCGAAGCAGTCATACCTAAGGATCCCTAGGAATTCCGAAGGATTCCCAGGAATCCTTAGGAATTCCTTCTGCAGGATTCCTAGGAATTCCTTAGAAATTCAGAGGGATTCGTAGGATTTCCTATGGATTCCTAAAGGGTCGAAGTCGGAGTCCAAAGCCGGATCGCATCGGAATCCAAGTCGAAATCCAAATCGGAATCCAAATCGGAATCGAAAGCCGAATCGAATCGGAATCGGAAGCCATCGAAATCGAATCGCAGCGACTCGGAGGAATCGAGACGAGCCCTGGTCGGGGGCCGACGAGCGCGCGTCCGCCAGCGCACACTGGATCGAGACCGTCCGAGACCAGAGGCCTCCTGTACGAGGTTGGAGGATCGCGCCGCACGAACGTTGTGCATCAGCCTGCTTTTGTCAACTCTGCCGAGCGGCTGACACATCGAAGCAAGAAACGACTTCACGTGGTCGCCTACGAAAGCGATTAGCCAACGCACAATGCAATAAAACACGGCATCGCCGAGGCATCGGTAATGCATCGACGATCCATCGGCGACGCCGGCGATGCATCGGCGACGTCGGCGTGGAGGACGATCGGGCTCCACATCGAGCCGCATCGCCGCTGCATCGTCGACGCGGAGCGATCCTTCGACTCCAGCTACTCCGACCCCACCTGGGAGGCCTAGACGAACGCGCCCGAGAACGTGACTCGGATCGAGCGCGTCCGAGACGACCGAGCGGATCGAACTGGACCGCGGCCTGGTAGAGGTCCTGCACCGGCATGCCCTCGTGAGGGGCAACGATGAGGGGGGACTGGCATGGGGGAGGGGAGGCCTCCTGGAATCGGCCATACATCGCCAGTCGATCGGCGATGGGCCCCCGATAGCAAATGCGCACGTTCTTCGGCTGGGTGGGGCTATCAAGCCCCTATCGGCGATCCATGGGCGATTGACGGTCGATGCATACATCCCTACGCCCCCGGACCCCCGAAGCCATATTTTTCTCATGATGTCGACCTCTGGAACTATCGACCCATTCTCTAGCACCGGTTCTTCCTCCTGGATCGTTTCTGACGGCCGAAAACAGCGAAACACCTCCCACCGTGGTTGGGGGGGCACATGCGAACCCTACCCCTGCCCCCCACGATTTCTGAGGGGGGGGGGGTCACTTCGCTCGGGAGCTCCCGAACGGAGTGAACCCCCCCCCCCCTCAGAAGTCGTGGGGGGCAGGGGTAGGGTTCGCATGTGGCTCCCTAGTGGCGTGTTTCACGACCCGCCCGAGGGGGCCTGGGCTCTCGCCCCCCCCCCCTCTCGCTGCCCCTGACCTTGAAGTGGTCGATGACGCCCCAGAGGCTCTGCGAGCCGCAGCGCCCGGCGTCGATGGGTGCGCCGTCCACCTCGGCCCCGCGCGCCGCAGCGCAAAAGGGTCCCCTTTGGGGCGGGAGAGGCGGCCTCTGGCGCGCGTGGCCTGCCGATGCCTGCGCACGATGCGAGGGCACGGTCAAAACGCAGGAGGAGGAGGAGGAGGAGGAGGAGGAGGAGGAGGAGGAGGAGGAGGAGGTCCCCCAAACACGCTGCCGGGCTGCCTCCTCGAGGCTGCCGCCGGGCCCCCCGAAGGCAGCTCCCGGGGCGCCCACGAGCATCCCCACGCAGTGCCCAAGAGGCCCACGACGCCTCGGCCTCGGACGCCACGCCTCTCCTGGGGTCGGCGGAGTGGTGCAAGCCGCCTCCTGAACAATGCTGCTCGGTGGGGATGCGAGGGTTTGGGAGGCTGTGTGAACGTTCTGCGAAAACGCGGCTCGCCAGCGAAGGGCCCCAAGGACGGGCCGAAGGCTGGAAGCCTCCTACTTGGGTGGGGGTCCGAGCAGATGGGATCGGCGGATCGCGCCGCATCGCCGATGCATCGGCGACGCACCCGCGAACCTGGCGACGCACCGACGACGTCGGCGAAGCTCGGGCTCCACATCGCGCCGCATCGCCGATGCAACGGCGATGCGGCGCGACCCTCCGACCCCATATGCTCGGACCCCACGCGGGAGAGGAGGAATCTGAGGAGGATGAGGAGGCGGCGGGGGCGGAGGATGATGAGGAGGAGGAGGAGGATTAGGAGGAGGAAGAGGAGGAAGAGGAGGAGAAGGAGGCAGCCCTGCCTGAGCTGCTCGTCCTCGCTGTGCGCTCTGGCTGCGCAGCGGCCTGCGTGCTTGGGATCGGCCCGGCCGCCGTCCCGCCCCGCGAACGCCGCGCACAGGGGGCCGCTCGGGCGAAGGGCCGCACCGCCTGTAGCCGGCGGTGGACAAACCTCCCTTTAGTAGACCACCCTTTGGTGAAAACGGCCTGGGACCGAAACCGACGGACCTGGGCCCGATGCGCGATAAGGATGCGCGATGAGGATGCAAGGCTGCAAGGGCCTTGGAGAGCCATGTCGAAGCTTTTCGAGCACAGCGCGGCCAACGAAACTGGCCAAGGATGGACCGAGGAGGCAAGGATGCAATGGTACCATTGGGACGGTTGCCCATCCTTATTTTTCGGGTTGGCTGTACAGGGTTGGTGGGCACGATGGGCTAAATGGAATCCGGGCGCAGGGCAGAGCTAGTTGGCCGACCCAGCCAGACAGGACAACTGAAAGCTTGGGGGTCGGTTCTCGAACGATTGGAACGGCATTCGGCAGGTCATGTTGAGAAACCAAGAGGTTCGCACATGTCGGCGACCATAGTGTGTGTTGTTGCTCTGTGCAAGTTGTTTATGGCCGCAAATGCAATTTTTCGACCAGGATGCCTTGCGGGAACCGACCTCGTGTTGAAAATAGCACAAGGAGTGTTTCACGAGCTACTGCTTAGGAATACTCTCAGAAGCTCTGATTCCCAGCACTTCCGAGTGTTGTGAAACAAAAAACTTCAGAGAGCTCTACGAAGTCCCTGGCGGTAGCCAGGCTGACGCTTTGCCACTGGCTCCCATATGTTACGCATGGCCGGCCACCGCGCTCGTCGATATGCAGTCCCCGCACCCCGCCTCTCCAAGCAGGAAGCACTGGTTCGCGGGATTCTCGCAGAAGTGGTCGTACAGGTAGTAGTCCAGCGACGCTCCCCTCATAGAGAACACAACGAGAAGGCACGAGCATACACTCTCTCGGAGGGCCGCGCGACTTCTTCGGATCGGCGCGGGACACCCCTCCTTCGCGGGCACCTGGGGCGGCGCCGGAGGCGCCACCAGGGAGGTCCGACGCCGACCCGAGCAGCCCGCGCGGACCTCGGACGAAGAATGGCTATGCGGTTGTCTCATCCTCGACCCCAGGAGGCTCGTGGCGAGCCAGACGGTGAGGAAGTACACCTGGCTGTCGCCGAACCACACGCCGGCGCCCCACGGTCCCGTGCCCACGTGCTGCACCAGCGTGCGGAAGGCGTCGCGCACGGGCGCGGGGTACATGGTGGCCTCGTACGCCTGGTACCACATGGACACGTCCTCGTCCAGGTGGTTCCTCTGCGCCTCGCAATTGTGGTTCATGGCCTCGCCCACGCTGCAGTCCCCGCCGAGACCGGGCGTGGCCACGGACTTCAGGGCCACGAACGTGCTGGCCATCACGCGCACGCTCTTGCCTCCCAGCTTAACCGACGTGGCAGTCGAGGGGATGTCCTGGTTGAGCCAGTCCTCCTCGTGGATCTTGCCGCAGGTGTTGAAGAACGGCTCCCTGGCGCTGGACTCTCCGCCGATCTCGGAGAGATACCTGCGCGCGCCCATCAGCGTCCAGGGAACGGGAAGCATGCGCCCCTGGCGGGGAGCCAAAATCGAGCGCGGCCCAACCGACCCCTACCGGGACAACCCCCTTGCCATCGAGGCCTCACCCTGGCTGCCTGCAGCCCACGACCCCGAGCGAGGCGAGGGGCCGTCACGGCAGAGGTCGACTTTGCAAACGGCTCGGTCAGACCGACCTGGACGAACAGATGCCAACACGTCGGCGAGCTGGACGCAGGAATGACAGATCGTGGTACCCAAAAAAGACGGTACCGCTGCTCCCCGCACCTCTCCCGGGGTGCGCTCTGGCCAGGATCCCGAGGCGAATCCAGCGGTGGCGACGATGGCCTCCCGGGAGGCCCAGAATGGGGAAGACAGGCAAAGTGTATGGGTACCCAGAGATCCGATGTCGTGATTTTTCCATACGCGGTCCCCGGAGATCTCGACCCCATCCCCAGGACTGGTTTTTTTCATCCTGAGCCGCTGTTTGACGGCGTCGGGGCCCGGCGAGGGCCCCTATAGAGACCGAAGACTGAAAACAAAACATCCGCCTTGATATGTTTCCATAGGTTTCGCAATAACAGGGAGGGGGTCTGGACCCTCCAAGACAAGCCATTTCAGTCCTCCCCCGTGGGAGAACCCCCCAAAACATCGTCGCCAGACCCCCCAGGCCCTCCAAGATAGCCTGGAAGAGACCCCCCCCCGAAATGAGACCCCCCTCCCTCTATCACGCAATCTGGAGTAGTTGCTCCCCCTCGTGGGTGCAGCGGCGAGCTGCACGCAGCGAGCGGCCCCGGGGCAACGCGCGGCTCTCCCCCGGCGGTGCGCCGGGCGCGCGGCGGTGGCGGCCTGCGCGCCCGAGGCGGGTGCCCTGCCGCGCCCCCCGAGGACCGCGCAGCCGGGGGGCAAGTCGGGCGCGCCCCCCTGCAGGGCAGTTTTGCATACATAGGATGTTCAAACCTACAGGACTTTTTAATACATGATGAATGTGGTGGTGCATCGATGTATGCGTGAACGCATCGTTGCTTTTGGTACTACGTCCCTGCATTTTTCAGACATGTTCCGCACGCGGAGCATGTATAACAAAAAAACGGCACTGTACAAGGGGAGTGTGAACGACAGATGCACAACAAAACACCCAAGGGATGCCCAAACAATGCTCACAAATACTGGACACATCGTCCCAAAACTATTTGTTTGACCATGTCTGAGTATTCCTCCTGCAGAAGAGGGACAGGCCCGACTCAAACCCGGGGCCATTCCATCGGAAAACCGCTCGTAAGCATGGCCGACGATGCTTCGTGGGAAAAGACCGGCATGCAAAAAGCACTTTGCAGTCGTCGGGGACGCCTGCCCCTCGGGCGGCTGGAAAATCTTTGCCCCCACGTGGCACCGGAGTGACACAAGCTCTGCAGCCACCAGGGGGGGGCAGGCGCCCGCGACGGCGCATGCGCTTACGGGATGCCGCTCTTCGCCCGCCAAGATGCCGCTGCTCCCGCGGGCCTCTCCCGGAGGTGCGCTCTGCTCAAGATTCCGAGAGGCGAATCCAGCCGTGGCGGCGAGGCCACCCCCCCAAGGAGGCACACGAGGCCAGGAGGGCGAGCACGAGGAGAGAGCGTCGTCGTCGACGTCTCTGCCCACACCGCCAGATCGGCCTCTGGACCCGTCTCGGGGCCCACGCGGGGCCCGAGCCTGCCCTGGGACGCCGAAACGAATGAGCCACCTCGGTCCTCGCATTCCTTCCTCGAGGCAGTGGCATCGGACATCGGCCTCAGGATGCCATCTCTCCTCCTGGACCCTAGACGCTAGACATCAACGTGGCGCCCCAGGGGTCCGGAAGCCTTCCTGGGGACTGGCTTTTCATCACGAGGTGTGCTTTGGACGGTCCCCGGGCCTGGAGGCGCACCTGCTGGAAAGCATCCCGAATCTAGAAAGCCATTTGGAACTTGAAAGATGCCCCAAAACCTCCAACCTCATCACTACTACCCGGTGCATGAATCCCAGCCTTTGAACCCAAACACCCGACGAAATAATTTGTGTCACAACGCGGCACCCCGAAATCTCGACGAATTCCCTGGGACCGGCTTCTCAGCCTGACTATTTGTTTGACAGTCCCCGGACCCAGCGAGAGCCCCCAAAGACCGAAAACGGCAAAAGAAAACGGAAAACAAAAACTACAACTTTGACTTTCTCAATACGCTGGAGGTCTATGAAATCCTCACCTCGAAATTGTGTTTCTCCACCGAGGGGCAACAATCGACTGGCCCAGGGGGGATGCATCGACCTGGAATCGACGAGGCATCGTCGATAGAGCGGCGATAACCCCCGTGAACGGAGCCGCACATTCCTACCAGCGATCGATGGGCGATTTGCAGGAGGACCCAGAATCGAATCGATAAGCCGAATCGGCGATCGGAATGAATCGGATCGGATGAAGTCGGCAGCCGAGGTGGGAAAAGTCGAGTCGGTACACATCGGCAGGCTAGGCCTCCATTGAGAAACCGGATCCCGAATCGGGATCCGATGTCGAATCGAATCGGAATCGGAATCGATCGACGTCGAAGTCCAATCGAATCGGAAGAATCGAACCGAGCCCCGGGGGGCTATCAGAACCCTACCAGCGATCGATGGGCGGTTGGGGGCCGATGCGTCCTCCCCCCCGGAGACCCTCCCCAGGTGGTTCCTGGGGTTTCCACTCGACTGGCCGGCGGCCAATAACAGGACGACGTGGGCAGCCCTCTCGGGACACCCTCAACGAGGCGCAGGTGACGGAGAGCGTCCCGAGGCTGGTAAGCCGCCGAAGGACAGCGAAGACGCCCTCGCAAACTTGCAACGTCGCACCTCGAAGACCTAGGACTTCGAACCTCGGAAACCTAGAACTTCGAGCGGCGATCAATGGGCGATTGGGAGTCCATGCGTTCCCCCCCTATGCGTAGGTCGGGCCTATCCCCCCACAGGCGGTTCTTGGGCGAAAGAGACAGACTCGACAAATGCCCCAAAATGGTCAAATTTAGCATTCCTCCTGCAGAGGGACAGATCCAACCTAACCCTATTCCCGTTCCCCCCTGTCGTCTGTCGTTGCCCCTGAGCCCCAGCGGCCTCGCTGGTCCAGAAGGCAAACGCCAGCACCTCGCTGTAGAACTGCACCAGCGACTCGTCCTGGCTGTTGGCGGTGGCGCAGAGCTGCGCGCCCCCGCCCACGACGTTCCCCGCGATGTCGGTCAGCGCCTGGAGGAGGAGGAGGAGGAGGAGGAGGAGGAGGAGGAGGAGGAGGAGGACGAGGAGGAGGAGTTGGAGGAGGAGGGGGAGGAGGAGGAGGAGTTGCAGGAGGAGAGGGAGGAGGAGGAGGAGAAGGAGGAGGAGGAGGGGGAGGACGAGGGGGAGGGGGGTGGGAGGACGAGGGGGAGGACGAGGACGAGGACGAGGACCAGGGTGGCCATGAGGAGGTGACCTCTTCCCGCGTCCCCCTCCCCCACCGAGGAACAGGAGGCCCAGAGGGGCAGCGATGGGGGGTGGGACTGGCACAGGGGGGGAAACATCGACCTGGAATCGGGGGCACGTCGCCGATAGATCGGCGATAGGCCCCCGGTAGCGAAACCGCACGTGCCTGGGCGGGGTGGGGCTATCTAGGGAGCCCACAAAGGACGTACGCGCCCAGCTATGTACATGAACACGGCCCCTCGATTCGCGAGACCGGCCGCGTGATACGCACGTTTGTGCAATGCGTGCTCTCGAAACCAGCGTGGATTCATGTACACGTACGTCCTTCTTTCGCTCCTGACTATCGGGCCCTCATCGGCGATCCTTAGGGGCAACGATAGGGTCTGCCTGGCAAGGCGGAGGAGGAGGAGGCGGAGGCGGAGGCGGAGGCGGAGGCGGAGGAGGAGGAGGAGGAGGAGGAGGAGGAGGAGGAGGACGCAGAACTCAACTCGAGAGACCCCCCCTATCGTTGCCCCCGAGGGGTTGCCAGGAGTCGATGGGACGGGGTGCCCAGACCCCCTCGACGAGGGAACAGTCTTGGTGGAAGATCTGCGATGCCTGTCGTCCCCTGGGGGGGCCCTCGCCGGGCGCTCCAGGACCGTCAGCGAAAGCGCTCGGGCGGATCTGAAACACCGCCCGGGGAAGCGGCATCAGCCCCAGCAGGTGGATCCTCCTCCTATCTCCTCCTAGTCATCATCATTCTCATATTTCCCCTGCTCCTCTTCCTCCTCCTTCTCTTCCTCCTCCTCCTTCTACTCCCTCTCTCTAATTAGCCCAGCAGTTGGCTCCTCCTCCTCCTCCTCCTCCTCCTCTTTGGAGTCGATCGGGCGTTGCTCCATATTATAACCTGCAGCGTCAGACCCTTCCCTCCTTCGTCCTCTCTTCCTCCTCTGTCTTCACCCTCATTCTTATCAACACCAGTTGTTTGAGCTCCTGAGAGGGAGGAGAAGGGGAGGGAAGCGAAATGAGGATGAGGAGGAGGCTTCAGACGCGGTGATCGCTTCGATCAACGTCGGTGGAGGAAGATGAGCATGGTTGGACTAATTAGGGGGATCGAGCAAGAAGAGGGAGATTTTGAACGAGGAGCCTGTGGAAGAGAGAGGATGGAAGAAGGCAAGATGGGTGGAGACGAGGGTAGAACAGCGCGCTGGAGCCGAGCCGTGGGCGCTTCGCCAGGGAGCCCGCCCGTGCCCGTCAGGGCACGGCGTAGAGGCCGCAGCCTCAGCAACGAAGGTACGGCCTTGATCAACTGGCTGGCTGGCCACTCACTGGAAGAACGTACGGAAAGCAAGACCAGGAGGGGCACAACGTAACGACTCTCCTGCCGTGTGCGTCTGGCCGGCACCACAGACTGCGGTGCCGGACGCACTGCGGCAGTGCTGGGAGCGCACTGGGGGCGGGTGGCGCACTGGAGGGGAACGTTGCGATATGGGGGCAGGCGAGGGGGGGGAGAGGGAGGGGGAGGAACGTTACGATTTTTGGGGGGTAGGGGGAGCTTGAGTCACGCGCGTCATGGCCGAGAGGGTAAAACAACACTCTCAAAGTGTGGAGAGCGAGCCAGGGCTGTGAGCAGGATTCGGCATACAGGAGGGGAATAGGACGGCCTGGACGGGCAGTCCCACGGACTATTGGAGCAATGATTACATACCTTCGCATGCACACGATGAGTAGTCAGTGTGGCTCGGGAATCCAGCAAAGGACGAAACGACAGCCCGATGCTGACAAAATCCTCACGTCCTAATGCCGTTATCGTCCAGCTTGAGTGTCTTTACCTGATCGGGGAAAGAGGGACGGCCTGGAAGGGCACTCCCCCAGACATGAAGTCGCCGAGGCCGCCCGTCTTCTTGTCGCCGATCTGCAGCTGGAGCCTGGGCTCTTTGAGGGTCTGGTTGCCGAGCCGATCCTTCCAGCTCAGGTCGCCGACTGCGGGCGCAGAGGATTCAGGATAGACTTGATTGGGACGCGCAGGGACATACTCATACGGCATGTCCTCCTTGGAGGCGCGCGTCCGACCCGAACACATCTAGCATACCCATCTTGTAGTAGATTGTTCCCCGTGCGGTGTGGCCAGAAGGCGCCCGCCACGACGCATATACCACAAGATTTCTCGGTGCGCGCGTCGCCCCTGAGGGGGCGACGCACACATAATACAAGTATGTTCGGGCATGGACAGACCCCCCTTTAGTAAAACGTGGTTTAGTGAAAACGACCTGAGGCCCAAACCTGGCGGGCGCAAGCCTGGAAAATAACGGCCGCGGCGCCCT